GTGCCTGGCGGACGCCGCCTGGCTGAGCCTGCGCAACAGCACGGTGCGCTTCAACAAAGCGCGCGACGGCGGGGGCCTCTACGCATGGGGCACCGCGGCGTTCGAGCTCCGGGGCTCATATCTCGAGGACAATGCAGCGTCGCGCTATGGCGGCGGAGTCTACGGTGTCAGCGCCGGCTCAGACCTCCGTTCCGCGGCCCGCACGGCCGGCGACGCGCTGGTCGCGCGCGTGGAATCTTCACTGGTGCATGGCAACACCGCAGTGGTCGACGGCGGGGGCCTCTATCTCTACTACGGCGATTATGAGTACGGCACCGTGCTGGTCGCCAACTCCACTTTCGCCAAGAATACTGCGGGGGGCGTTGGCGGCTGTCTATACGCTGAGCAAATTCACAGGCTTGCTTTGAAGGACTGCAGCTTCACTGCCTGCCGCTCGGAAACGGATGGCGGTGCCGTCTACATCGCAAACCTGGCGGCGACGCAAGTGCAACGCACGCGGTTCGAGGGCAACCGCGCGGTGTGCTTTGGCGGCGGCATCATGCAGTGGGGCCGGAGCGCGACCGTGATTGATGGCTGCACGTTTGACGGCAACAGGTGTGTGCGCCCGCCGCCGCCGACAAGCCGGCTGGGGCAGGATTATGTTTGAGGCCCAGCTTCTAATTGGCATGCATCACATACAAGCAAGCACGAGATCTGGCAGACAGCACGCAGGCCGGCGTGCATGGACGGCTTCAGAAAGGGGTGGCCGCAAGAGCGGTGTCGTGTCTGGATTGCAATGACACCGCTGCGCATTCGCACTGTCAGCTTTCCCGGGACCACTCTGAAAAACGTCCACCGACTTTCTATGCACTAACTGGCCCTCTCTGCAAGCTCAACTCACCACTCAGCTCAAAGGACCCCCCTTGCCCCCTTGATTCGCCTGTCCCCCAAAGCGCAAGCGAGGGCGGCGGTGTAAAGATCCATGCCAACGCCCTCCACGGCCTGGAGGGTGGGGTGAACATAACACTCCTCAACAGCTCATTCCTCCGCAACAGCGCGGCCAACGGCGGCGGCGTGCGGCTTTTGGGCGGCAACACGACGCTGGACGCGTGCCGCATGGAGGGAAACCGCGCGGGTGGGTGCACGCGTGTGCAGGGCCCTGCCACGACTGAGTAAGGGTCCCGCGCATCCAAACGCACACAATGCGTGCCGCAGTCTCCAGCTTGAGCTTGATGATCATGCAAACGTTGTGTTGCACGGGTGTTGCTCCTTGCCTTGCGTTTTCACTCTCGTCTGTGACCCGACCCGCATCCCACGCAGAAATTGGGGGTAGTGTTTACTACTCAATCGAATGCGCTGGCTCCCTTGACGGGCCTGAGTGCAAGGCGACCTCATCCCTGATCATCGTCGATCCCACGCGCATACGAAACAACACTGCAGCCGTGCTCGGCGGCGGCGTCTTCATCGCGGCCGCGCACGCACCCGTCGACCTCCGCACGCTCGCGGCGCCTGTCGTGGCAAACAACACTGCACGCGTGGCGGGCGCTGACGTGTCCATCCCGCCCGTGAGCTTGCTGCTGGCCGGCCCCGACGGCGGACCCCTCACCGGCGTCGCAGTCAGTGTGTCGCGCGGCGCACTTGATCAGGGGCTGTTGCCGCCGTTTGCGGCCTTCTGCTCAGACAAGGCCGGCGGCGGCGTGGGCGGTGTAGGTCTGGTGGTCAAGGTGGCGGCGGCGCCGCCCGGCGCACAGGCGGCGCTGCTGACGGGCGCGACGGCGGTGACCAACGCCACCGGCTGGGCTCTGTTCCAGCACGCCAAGCTGCGGGGCCGGCCTGGGTCCTACCGCCTGGCAGTGGAGGCCATTGAGCTGCGGGCCCTGGCGGCGCCAGCCATGAGCGTGGCGCTGCGCGGCTGCCTGGAGGGCGAGGTGGCGGCGCGCCCGCGGCTGGACGCCTGCGAGCCCTGCCAGGTGTGTGTGTGTGTGTGTGTGTGTGTGTGTGTGTGTGTGTGTGTGCGCGCGTGAGTGCGTGCGTGAGTGACTGTAAGTGTGAGGGCGTGTGTGTGTGAGGAAAATAGTGTGTGTGAGTGTGTGTGTGTATGCGGATGTGTGGATGTGTGGATGTGTGAGTGCACACACACGGTGGCGACCCTATTTGGCGAGGGAGGAGAACTTGATTGAAGAATTAGTGAGGCATTACTATGCGTAGAGGGCAGGCGCAGAGGCAGCGGCGTTGAGTCCAAGCCAGGATGATGGGGCGTGGTTATAAGGCTTGACCACCCGCGCACTGCCTCACGTCCCCCCTCCACGACGCCACCTCCTCCTTGCAGCGCAACACGTACGCCCTTGAGCCGGGGGCTGAGGCCTGCCAGACCTGCATGGCGGGAGCCACCTGCTATGGTGAGGGACGCCTTGAGCCTGGTCATGGATATGGAGGGGTGCGGGTGGGCAGGAACGAGGTTGGGCTAGGTCGAGATCAAGTCGCACTTGTTTGCATTCCATGAATAGGTGCCTGCCGCAATCCCTATGTGCTGCGCCGCCCAATGGAATGCATCACCCCCCTAAATACCCCGCCACCACGATTACCAGGCGGCTCTGCGGTCGTGCCTCTTCCCGGCCACTGGCGCTCGAGCCTGGGCTCTGCAGAGGTGCTGGCCTGCCCCAACCCCAGCGCCTGCCGGGGCAACCGCTCCGCCCTCTACAGCTGCGGCCCGGACGGCGTGTGCACCGGCGCCGGCGGGCCCAACGCCCAGTGCTCTCGCGGCTACACGGGGCCCCTGTGCGGCCAGTGCGCCCCCGGCTACGGCGCCGTCGCAGCTCCGCTGCACTGCGCGCCCTGCGTCGCGGCCGCAGGCGCCCGCGCGCTGCTGATACTCGCGCTGGCGGCGCTCACGGTCACGGTGGCATACGTGTCTGCGGCCGAGTGGCGCGACAACCGGAGCGGGCGCAACGCCCCTCTGCCCTCAGACTACCTCAAGCTGCTGGTGGGCCACCTGCAGCACCTCGCCATCATCTACTCGCTGCCACTGCCCTGGCCCAACACCATCACCTTGCCACTGCGCGTGCTGTCGTCGTCGACGGCGGGCCCCGGGCTCAGCATGGCGTTGGAGTGCGCACTGGGTCCCGGCATCGGTGCCGACGGCGGCGGCGGCAGCGGCAGTTTCAACAACGGCGGCCTGCCTGCACCACTGCAGCGCATACTGGTCTACCTGCTTCTGCCGGCGGGCGTGTTTGGACTGGCCCTCGGGCTGCAGCTGGCCTGGCGCGGTGTGCGGTGGCAGCTCACGCTGTGGCGCAGCGGGCACGCCTGTGCGGCGCGGCCCTTGCATGTGGGCGCGTGGCTGTGCGACGCGGCGCCCATCACCGCCGTCACGACTGCGTATGTGCTGTACCCGACCCTGCTGCGCATCGGGCTCGGCATGTTTGCTTGCGTGGCGGCGGACAAGCGTGGCGGCGCCAGTGCGGGGCGCTACTGGGTGCACTTCATGGGCCAGCGCTGCTGGGAGGGCTGGCACAAACCCTGGGCGCTGGGCGTGGGCGTGAGCCTGACGGCCGTCTTCGTGGGGGTGCTGCCGGCGGCGCTGGTGGCGCTGCTGCGCAGGCACCGCACCGCCATTACGGCCGGCCGGCCTGCCATTGCGGCGCGCTGGGGCTTCCTCTACCACAACTATTGCCCCGCATGCGTGTGGTGGGAGGCGGTGGCGATGCTGCAGACGGCGCTGCTGGTGGGTGTGGCGGCCATCGGGCACGTGACGGGGCCCTTCATCGCGGCGCTGGCCCTGAGCAGCGCCCTCATGGCCATCCTGATGGCGCTGGTGCTGGTGCGGCCGCTGCGCTTCGCGGCGCTGCAGCGGCTGCAGGTGGCGTCGCACGCCTCTGCCCTGCTGGTGCTGCAGGTCAGCATCAGCTTCGTAGACACCCCCGGCGGCGGCGGCCCCGCAGCCCCGGCGGTCGCGGCGTGGCAGCGGGCGGCGGGCGCCGTCGTGATGGCCGTGAGCGCCGCTGTCGCTGCTGTGATGGCGATTGAGGCAGTGCGATCGGCGCAGCTGGGGGCGCTTGCGGCCCGTTCGCTGCGCAGTGCGGCGTCCTGGCTCTCCGGACGCACGGCCAGCCTGCAGTCACTGCTGCTGCATGGTGTGTACACTTCAAAACAACAGCCGCCGCTGGAACCACTGCCGACTAGTCATTGATACCATACATAAAGGAGGTTGTCGGTTTGGTTGTCAGGTGCAGCACCTTACAAGTGATATGTCATTGCACGGTCGCACTTCCCCACCCGTGATTCTGAAATATTTAGGATATTTGACCGCCGGCTGTTTTTGAAGTGGGTGTGCACGGGCATACCCAGATTGCACATTGCTGGTATGGCACCCTCTTCTCTTGCTGATTCCTACGCCGGCACAGGTCCCAGCATCCAGGGGTGGAGGGTGACATGGGGGAGTTGGGGTTTAGAGGTTGCGCATGCGTACACAGGGACGACGCGTCCCTGTGGCTTGTTCGAGACTGGCAACAGCCAGCTGACGGCCGCCCACCTGCGCCACACTGCTCATGTGAGACGCACGCAGAAGGCACGCGTGTGAATGCGCACCGAACTAGGGTTATTGTCTCGTCAAGTTTGCAACCTTGTGCGGGGTTGGGTATACTCAAGTGCACCTTTCATTCGGCTGGGCCGCTTGCAATTAAATACCATCACACTATCCACAGTTGCTGTGGCCGCTTGCCCAGCCCCTGATTTGCTTCGAACAAGGTTGTTCACACTTGATAGGACGTCCTGTTGGCGAATTATTTCTTCCATGAGCCGCTGGCCAATGTGCTGCTGCAGGGCCGGCGATGTTTGTTCTGCGCCCTTGTACTGCCAAGAAATAAAGTCTGTGGACTCGGTATCGAGCCAATCACAACAATCCACTTTGTCAGTAATTCCAAAAGTAATTCCAGCTGCCAGCACGCAATGACGGTCAGACTAGGACCCGGTCCTCACCTCACAGCGCGGCTGAAAGCTGCACACGGGATTCTTCATGCGCACTGTCAATTAGAGTGTATGCTGTGATGCATGCACGGTGTTCGGCCAGGGTGTGCAGAACACCTGGACGGTAGCTGCGACCTTCCCTGAGAGGCTTAATGCTCTCTGCTGTCGCAGTGGACTCTTCAAGGTTTGCAACGACACAACAGACGTATCCTCCACAGCCTTTGTGAGCAATTGGCTAGCCCAGACGTGAGTGCGACCTTCCAGCAGTTGCATACTGCTGCCTGCTCTTCCAGCCTCTGCAGCCCTGTTCCCTGCTTACTGGTGAACTGTTACCAGCATCTGGTGCTGTGATGGGGCATATGTGCGCAGTGGTACGAGTGCATGATTCTCAAGGAGAGCAAATACCAGGAGAAGATTTGGCAACTAATCCAAATGCGAACACCCTGTGCGCTGCATCTTGGTGTCAACATTGATGGGGCCCCTGCCTGGGATTTTGTCGAGATGGGGGTCACTGAGTCATGCGGTTGTTGCTTTGACGTTCTCCCACGCGCTGTGGGCGCTGACCCTGCAGCAAGCAACCGCACGTGGAATTGACGTCGGCGCGATTTCTGGTCGTTGCACAGCAATTTCACCTATCAACACGACTTCCGTGAGATCTGCAGATCGCAGTGACATTGCCACCGGACGTCGCATCTGGGGCCTACACGGTTATCATTGGCTATCGAGCGAGACGTGTCCTGCGAAATACAGGAGTTCCCTCTCTCGCAGTGTTGCGTTCCCCGCACAGTGCGAGCAGCGCCGGCGCGCGGCTGACGGCCCTCACTGCCTTGGCTTAGTAGCAGCCGCTGATGCGGATCGGTGTCATCGGCGCGGGAAATGTGGGCAAGACCCTGGGAGGGCAGCTAGCCACTAAGCACACGGTCAAGTATGGCTGCCGCGACCCTGCAAAGCACCCCGGCATCGGCGCCGCCCCTGTGCCCAGCGTCTGCGACTGGGCAGAGGTTCTGCTGGTCTGCACCCCGGGGTTCAGCACCGCCGCGGAGGCCGAGGCGCTCGCCACGAGCTTCGGGCCCGGCGTTAGAGGTGCGCGCTGCGTGCAGCGGAGGGGCCGCTTGCCGTGGCGACGCAGATGGCTGACGGTCCCGCTTGTGATGAACGCTCCTTGAGCGCCCATGCAAGGCCGCTGCGCATGGTTGAGTCACGCATGCATGCAGTCAATGCTGCTCGCTCACTTCAACTGCGCAGGCAAAGTGTTCATAGATGCCACGAACCCCCTGTCGGCCTGGCCCAAGCTTGAAGTCCCTTGGGACGGGCGCAGCGGGGGCGAGCTGCTGCAGGCGCGTTTCGCAGGCCGCATGGGGCTTCGTGCCTTTGCCACGTCGCCCCTGCCTTGCCGTGGCCTGCCTTTGGGGCCCCCTCCTGGCAATGCCGAGCGACCCACCTGATGCAAAACACTCGCGCCCGCAAGACTGCCGTGAGGCCTCGCATGCAATTTGGACCTGCGCCGATTTATGCGTTTCAAATGCACCGACAGGGGGCCCTGCCGTCGTCGTATGTGTTCAAGGCTTTCAACACCATCGGCCTCGAACACATGGCCGCGCTCGGCCCACAGGGCGCCGCCGTTTTCGGCGGCGAGGCCGCCGCCATAGAACGAGGGCCCATCACCATGTTGTACGCGGGGGCAGAGGAGAAGCGGGCCGTTGCAGCTGCGATCATTTCAGATGTGGTAAGCGGCACCCTCCGCGTGCCCCACCGCCTTTCACGGCTTGCTCGGCGCACTAACACAGCATGCGTTCGTTGCACAAGCCACACCGTGGTCTTCAAACGAACGTCAAGCCTGGCGGCGCCCGGGGGCCGTGCAGCCAGCTGAACGTGCTGCTGGCGAGCGCACGCGCCCGGCCCAGTGTCCGGCCTGCCATTCCATTCTTTGACTTTTTGGGTGTTCCCGACCTGGCGCTGCCGCATGCGCCACAGGGATTCGACCCTCGCTACGTCGGCCCCATCAGGTGCGCGTGGCCGCGCGGTTTCCCTGATCGCGCGCTCCGCAGCTGTCAGGCCGCAGGCGCAGCGTCGGGCCGCACCTCCACCCTGTGCACGCCCAATGCGGCGCTGCCCGCCGCCCTCTGCAAAGTGCGACACCCGCCAACCCAAATCATTCCAAGCATGCAAGCACGGCATGCAGGTCGTGGCCCTGAAGCATGCCGAGGTCCCCATTCGCACGGCAGCATCTCCTGCATCCACGCCGCCCGCGACGCTCCGCCGGCTCGCCCGCCCTGGCTGCCCGCTCCACTGCGCCCCTGTCCCCCGCAGCTGACTGATTGGCTGCTGCTGCGCCCGCCTCAGGTACGCGAGGAACCTGGAGGCAATAGCGGAGCTCTGGATTCACTGCGGCATCGGCGCCGCGGGGCTGAACCCAACCGTGGACTGGGGCGGGGACTTTGCATTCCAGGTGGTCGGCGGGCGCAAGGGCTGACAGGCGGGTGCGGGGTAGCTCCCGCCCGTAAGTGGTCCTTCACCCTTGATGCTGCTGTTTGTGTCGCTCTGTGCCGTTTGTGATGCGGGCTGGGGGGGGGGGAAGCTCGTTGTGCACGCTACGCCTGCCGACGTCCGCAGTAGAGTTACATGAATGGCTGCGTTGCGTTCATTCCGTTGATACTGTGTTGTCTTATATAACCACACGATAAAACGCATTTTACATCTGTCACCAGTGGGCAATTTGGTGTAATCACGACCGGTTTGCGGCTGCGATGGGCGTTGTGGAACCCTCGTGCGGACGTTTGACCTGACGTTTGACTGCCTTGTCTTCGTGTCGTGCAACACCCGTGCGCTGTCAACGTGCTGTGCAGCAACGATGCAGTATCTCAGTCATAGCGATGCACACGAGGAGCTAGCCAACGCCAAGGCGAATGCGCCGAACCTGCTGGGCGGCCGCCGCGCTGACATGGATACGGTACCGTACATCTACAAAGTGTAGGGAGCCACACCTGCAGTGAGATGTGTGTGTACCACTCGGCACTCCTCGCGCGAAGCACCACCATCTGACACATAACTCTCTGGCACGGGGCCCAAGTACTCACCTACACCGCGGCACACCCACGATCGCGACACAGGGATAGCAGAGGCTGCAACCTCCAGAACGTCAGACATTGCTTGAAGATATACTTCAAGGCCTCTCGGGAGGCTCGCTTGCAGCCTAGACTCCACACAGGGCACGATTCCCTCGAGCTCCGTGCTGTTGCCGCCTTTGACGCCAAGGACCGGCATAGTTGGTTAGAACTATCGCAAGAGGCGCGTACGGAGGTGCGGAGGCGCAGCATGCGGGTGCTAACGTTGTGATCGGTCGCTGTGCCCTCGCGCAGCATGCACCGAAGATTCCGGAGCTGCGGTGTCCTGTGATGCATGCCGAGCCTCGGGTACGATGAAATCGACATGTCTCTCACCAGCGTTGCTGCTTGCTGCCTTGGCGACGGCCTGCGCGCGCACAGGCGCACCGGCCCGAGCGACGTGGCACAGCCCGTGTCTCCCTGACACCAGCGGCCCGTGCATGGCGGGCCACTCCTTGCACCGCGAAATCGTCGCATCGGCCGCAAGCCTCAAATCTTGTCTGCGCGGGCTAGCGCTCGCGCTCGGCGCGTCAGTGCCGACTGCTTCGACCGTCGATGCTGGTGCCAAGGCAGCGGGCGCTGCCTCGCGCGCGGTCGGCGCGGCCGCATCTCTAAAGAAGCTCCTGGGCGGCGCTAGTGGCGAGCAGGAGCTGCTGCTGCCCCTTGATACCAGCAAGCGCCTGGTGGAGGTCAACCTGCCCGATAGCCTGCAGCAGCTGCTCGCCGCTTCAGACCCCTCTGCGGCGCGCTGGCCGCTCCCCAGATGCGCCGAGGCGGGTGCTGAGGCGGGCCCCGCGCGCTCGGCGGCGCCGCTGGAGCACCCCCTGTGGCAGCAGGTTCAGCTGGTCGTTGCGGACACATGCGAGTGCTTGTCGCTGCTCGCACGCGTCGCGCTGCGCGCCTGCGCGCGCAGCGATGACCCTCTTGGCGTGATACTGCAGATCTGCGGCCCGCAGCCGGCAGCCGCGGCCGCGCGTTACCTGGGGGCGCTGCGCGCTCTCGAGGAGGGCAACGGTGGCCATGGCGCGCCGACGACGGCCGCCGCGCGCGCGGCCGCGTGCATGACCGCTGCGCTTCTGTCGCCGCTCGGCGCCATGGGGGCCACGGCGGGCCCAGACACCGAGCTGCGGGCGCAGCTGGCAGGCAGCTGCCGCGAAGCCGGCCTGCTGGGGGCGGCGTGCGGCGCGCTGATGGCAGCCGCGAAGCCGCTCGCGGCTGGCGGCGGCGTGGACGAGGAGACGGAGCGCACGGTCGAGGCGGCGGCGGGCCACCTTCTTTCTCTGTGCCTGTTCATGTCAGGTGTCGATACCGATTTCTCAGGCGCCGACCACGAGATGGTTGTGGCCCAACCCGCCGCGGGTGAGGCGGTAGGGCCGGAGCCTGGCAGCGAGGACGGCAGCGGCGACGGCGGGGCGCATTGGCGCCACGAGGACGCGCCGCGCTTCGCAGAGCACTGGGAGGCACCCGCTGGGGGCGCCTCGTCCTGGGAGCAGCCCCCGCTGCAGCACCAGCGCCAGGGCGGGCTGTCCGCCGCCCTCGGCGCCTGCCGCCCGGCCCTCGCGCCGTTGTCGGTGCCGCCGCCCGACCAGGCGCCCGGCCCCGCGTCGCCGCCGCGCGCGCCGCGCGGCGGCGACTCGCCGCTCGGGAATGGCGGG